TTTTTCGTTTTCATTTTCTTTTTCTTTTTCTTTTTCTTTTTCTTTTTTCGACGGGCAGAGTGGACAGTGAGAGAGAGACAGAGAGAAAGGTCTTCCTTTTGCCGTTGGTTCACCCTCCAATGGCCACCGCGGCTGGCACACTGCGGCTGGCGCATCGCACTGATCCGAAGCCAGGAGCCAGGTACTTATCCTGGTCTCCCATGTGGGTGCAGGGCCCAAGCACTTGGGCCATCCTCCACTGCACTCCCGGGCCACAGCAGAGAGCTGGCCTGGAAGAGGGGCAACCGGGACAGAATCTGGTGCCCCGACGAGGACTAGAACTTGGTGTGCCGGCGCTGCAGGCGGACGATTAGCTTATTGAGCCGCAGTGCTGGCTAAGAAATGCTTTTCACAGAGAAAAATGCACATAAACTGAAAGTGAAGGGTTAGAAAAAGATAATACTATGCAAGTGGAAACCAAAAGACCAGTGGGAGTAGCTATAATCATATCAAATAAAACTTTAAATCACAAACTGTAAAAAGAACATTATATGTTGATAGGATCTATTCAGCAAAAAAATATAAGAATCATAAATATATATGCACCCAGCACAAAGACAACTCTGGTATATACAGTAAATATTTAACCTAAAGACAGAGAGAAATAGTAATAGTAATAGTAATAGTGGGGGACTTCAGCACTCCATTGTCATCAATGGGCAGATCATCCAGACAGAAAAACCAACAAAGTTACATCAGAGTGGAGTCATACTATTGAGTAAATGATCCTAACAGACATTTATAGAACATTTCGCCCAACAGCTATAGTATACATACTATCCTTATCAGCACATGGGACATTTTCTAGGATAGAGCATATGTTAGGCCACAAATCAAGTCTCAGCAAATGTAAAACCACTGAAATCATACCATGTATCTCTCAGACCATAAGGGAATAAAAGCCTAATCAACAACAAGACAAACAATAGAAAATTTACAAATACATGGAAATTGAGTAACATGCTATTAAGTGACCAATGGATCATTGAAGAAATTGAAAAGGAAATTAAATCTTTTGAAAGAAGAAAATGAAAACATAGCACATCAGTTTAATACTGAGGGAAGTTTATAGCAATCAATGGAACTGCCATATGATCCAGCAATCCCACTACTAGGTATATACCCAAAATACTTAAATTAATTGTGTAAAAGCTATCTTTTCTACCATGTTTAAAGCTGTTCACAGTAGCCAAATAATGGCATTTACTAAGGTGCCCATAATTAGATGAATGGATATAGAAAATGTGTTATATATCCACAGTGGAATACTGTTCAGCTATATAAAAAAAGAAATACTGTCATTTGTACAAAATGGATGGAACTGGAGGACACATCATGCTGAGTGAAATAAGCCAGAAACAGACAGATACCCTGTGTTCTCCCTTACATGTAGGAGCTAAAAATTTTAAAGCCTGCCCAAACACAGAATGTTTGTAACTAGAGGCTAGAATGGGTGGAGGGATAAAAGGATTTTGGATTTAAAAGGGGGGGGGGGGGGCTGACTGTGGCTCATTAATTGTGACAAATATACTTATATGAGATGTTAATAATAGGGTAAATGGGGTTAGGGGAATATCGAAACTCTTTGTATTGCTACCTCACAATCTTTGTTTTTAAATATAAAACTATTAAAGTGTTAAAAAAAAAAAAAAAAAGCAGTGATATATCAACCCAACTCCAGTTAGATTGGCTGCTATCAATAACAAAAGATGACAACTGCCAGTGAGGATTTGGAAAAAAGGGGACCCTTGCCCACTGTGATAGGAATATAAATTAGTGTAGCCATTATGGAAAACAGTGTGAGGTTTCTCACCTAAAAATAGACTACCGAATGATCCAGCAGCCATACTACCAGGTATGTATACCAGGGAAATGAAACCAGTTACTCCCATGTTCTTACAGCACTAGTCACATATAGCCAAGAAATGGAAACCTGAAATGTTCATCAACTGAAACATAGGTAAAGAAAAAGTGGTAAGAGCTGGTGTGGTGCAGCAGCGTGAGCCAGTGCCTGCAGTGCTGGCATCCCATATCAGAGTGTCAGTTTGCGCCCTAGCTGATCTGCTTCCAATCCAGATCCCTGCTAATGTGTCTTGAGAAAGCAGCAGAAAATTGTCCAAGTACTTGGGTCCCTGCCACCCACACAGGAGACAGATGGAGTTCCAGGCTCCTGGCCTCAACCTGGCCCAGCCCTGGCTGTTGTGGCCTTTTGGGAAGTGAATCAGTAGAATCTGTCTCTTCCTCCCACTCTACCTTTCAAACAAACACATCTTTTAATTTTTTTTTTTTTAAAAAAGGGGAAAAGTAGTAATATACACAAGGGAATACTACTCAGGCATAAAATGAATGGGATGTTTGTCATTTGCAACAACATGGATGGAACTGGAGGTCATTATGTTAAGTGAAATAGGCCAGGCACAGAAAGATAAGTGCCAGATGATCTCAGTCATGTGGAATATAAATTGATGTCATAAAGTTAATGGTGTAATTGTGGTTATCAGCCTGGGGAGGGTGGTGTGAGGAAGGGCTGTTTCACAGTACTAACTTATAATTAGATGGTAATCAAAAGCATTGACATTCTGGTACACAATTGGAGACTATAGATCAGACAGTGTACTGTATATTTTTCTTTATAAAAACTGGAAGAAAGGCATTTTAATGTTTTTATCATGAAGAAATGTGGGCTGAGGAGATAGGTGACAAAACATTTTAATCTCTTGAGATATCTTTATTGGCATAAAGAACTTACATAAAGATTTTTAAATGTAAAAGGTTAGGCAGCACAAGCTTAAAGTAATCAACATAGCATGGTAGGCATATTGGTTGATTTGGTTGATGGGATACAATGGAGAGTCCAGCAGCAAACACTGATATTTATATTTAGTAGATTTTGGACAAAGGTGCCATGACAATTCGTTGGGTTAAAGAATAACTGCCTTCTCAACCAATGATGCTGGATATCCATATGCAGGAGACTGAATTTCTACCCCTTCTTCACACTATGCCGATAATTAATTCAGAATGCATATTAGAACTAAATATAGAGCCGGCGCCGTGGCTCAATAGGCTAATCCTCCACCTTGCGGCGCCGGCACACCGGGTTCTAGTCCCGGTCGGGGCGCCGGATTCTGTCCCGGTTGCCCCTCTTCCAGGCCAGCTCTCTGCTATGGCCAGGGAGTGCAGTGGAGGATGGCCCAGGTGCTTGGGCCCTGCACCCCATGGGAGACCAGGAGAAGCACCTGGATCCTGGCTCCTGCCATCGGATCAGCGCGGTGCGCCGGCTGCAGCGGTGGCCATTGGAGGGTGAACCAACGGCAAAGGAAGACCTTTCTCTCTCTGTCTCTCTCTCTCACTGTCCACTCTGCCTGTCAAAAAAAAAAAAAAAAAAAAAAAAAAAAAAAAGAACTAAATATAAGAGCTAAAACTATGAAGCTCTGAGAAGAAAATATAGGAGTAAGTTCTTGGGACCTTGAATTTTTGTCATGATTTCTTGAATTTAGACTTTATGAAAAATGTAAACCTTCTGTGATGCACAGAGATACCATGAAGGAAGAAGGTGCAAAATATTCACAGGAAAAATATATTTGTAAATTATATTTGGTAAGATGTGTTTGTATGTAAAGTACATCAAGAACTCAAAAAAAGGCAAGTAACCAAGGCAAAAAGTGAGCAAAAAGGAGGCAGGCACTTTGTTCAGTGGTTAAGACACCCAGGTCCCATATCAGAATGCTTGGGATCAAGTCCTGACTGTGCTCCTTAGTCTGCTTTCCTACTAATGTGCACCCTGGGAGGCAGCAGCAGGTGATGGTTCAATCTTCATTGGAGACCTTGATTGAGTTCCTATCCCTGATTTCAGCCTGGCCCCTCCAAGGCTGTTGTTCACATTTCGGGAGTGAACCAGTGGATGGGAGAGTTCTCTCTCCTCTGCCTGTCTCTGTTTCACTGTCTCCATGCCATTCAAATAAAATTTAAAATCATCAAAAAAGATGAGTAGACATTTTCCCAGAAAGATATATAAATGTCTAATAAGCACACAAATGGTATTCATCGTTAGTCATCAGGGAAATGTAACTCAGAACCATGATGAGAAACCACTTCATTACCCACAAAGGTGCCTGTAATCACAAAGACAAATAATAACAAATGTTGGTGACGAATATGGGGAAATTGGAACTTATTTGCACTGCTGATTATATCTGGTAGCATCTCAAAAAATAAACATAAAGTTAACAGACTGTGACCCAGCAATTCCATTTGTAGGTATATATCCAATATAGTTGAAAACACATCCACACAAAATCTTATGCATGAATGGTCATAGCAGCATTATCCCTAATAGCCAAAAAGTGAAATAATCCAAATGCTTATCAACCCAAATGGATAGAAAAATGTAGAATAAGCTATTATTTGGTAATAAGAAATGAAATACTGAGGTATGCCATAAGATGGACGAACCTTTAGAACAGTTTGCTAAGTCAAATAAGCCAGTTGCAAAAAAGGTACTAGATTATTTCATTTACATGAAATGTCTAGAATAAGTTGATAGTAGATGAATATTGCCTGGGGCTGGGAGAAGCATTAGGAGGAAAATGGGGAGTGACTGCTAATGAGTGCAGTGTTTCTTTTTAAAGTGATGAAAATGTTACAGGATTGATTGTGGTAGTAGTTTTACAACTCTTTGAATATATTAAATAACCATTGACTTGTACACATTACATGGGTGAATTGTGTGTGACTAACAAAAATTTTAAAATCAAGCATTCCCAAGCCCAAAACTATTAAGAAGGAAGAAAAGGACATTTCCAAATGTATCTTAACTGTTTATCTTCCAGAACCAAGGGGTTGATTGTCTCTTAATTAGCAGATTCCTTTTGATTCTTTATTCCTCTAGAGACTGACTAGGTTTATTAATGCATACACTTTTGTGTTGAATGATAGTAAATCATATTCATTTTTGACAGGAATTGAGTTCTTCTCAGACTTTATCACATGATGGAGGATTCTTCAATAGACTGGAAGATGATGTTCATAAAATTCTTATTAGAGAAAAAAGAAGAGAACAGCTTACAGACTATAATGGAACAGATAATTGCACAGCTCATGAACACAACCAGGCATGTAAAGTAGAAAATTCTGTTAAAATAGTGAAATTAAAATGCAAGATTTTTTTAAAAAAGTAAGCTGTGGAATCCAATTATGATTGTATAAAGTAACAGTTTTAGATAATATCTTAGTCATTAGATAATATTTTAGTCATTATCACACAAAGATATAAATATTCAAAGCATGAAGTATGTAGTTCATTCATTGATGAGTATTTACTGAGCATGTGCTATATTCTGTGTACTGTTAGCCACTGGTGTGAGGAAGCAGGACACCAGGATAGTTGAGACCCTTCTTTTTTTTTTTTTTTTTTAAATGATTTATTTGCTTGAAAGTCACAGTTACACAGAGAGAGGAGAAGCAGAGAGAAAGAGAGGTCTTCCAGCCTTCCATCCACTGGGTCACTCCCCAGATGGCCGCAACAGCCGAACCTGTGCCGATACGAAGCCAGGAGCCAGGAACAGCAGAGAGCTGGATGGGAAGTGGAGCAGCTGGGTCTTGAACTGGCACCCATATGTGATGTCGGCACTGCAGGCAATGGCTTTACCTGCTACGCCACAGCGCCGGCCCCAAGACCCTTCTTACCTTAGGTACTCAATCAAAAGTAGTGAAAATAGGAGAAGGCAGATCTGTAAAGGCATTGTTATTCAGCACGATGAAGACTTTAAGGGATAGAAGAACAGTGAAAAACAGGCTTTGAGTGGATAAGGCAATAGAATACTGTTTAGGTGAACTGTGATGGGTATGTTAAGAAGTGACATTTGAGGTAGGAGTTGAATGATGAGTAACTGTGTAATCTGAGAAACAAAGGGTTTGTAGCCTAAGGGAACCCTAAGAACAGAGGCCAGGCATTATGAAGACCATAGACTGAATACTCAGGAAACTACAGTGAAGTGTAGTACAGAGACTGTGAGATAGCATGGCCAAAGAAACAGATTGGAATTGAGTTACAAAGATCTTTTCTGTGAAATTAACAAGTTAGATAATTATATTGTACAACAAGGCAAGCTGTGGCCAACAGCAGTCGTGGTGGGTGGTCTGCCTTTGAAAGACCATAAGCTAAGAACAGTACTTAGATTTAAAAAATATTGGAATGATATTTTCAGTTTTTAAAAATGAATAATGTAGCTCCATATTCATGACACAGCATTTTTCAGTTCCATCTCTGTTGGAGAGAGCAGGATCACACCCACTGGATCCCATCCAGTCCCTAAATTCCCACAACAGCCACAAGTTGGGGCTGAAGCCAGAACCTAGAAACTCAGTTCAGGTCTGTCTCCCACATGGGTGGCAAGGACCCAATTATTTGAGTCATCATCCCCACCTCCAAAGGTCTGCATTAGCAGGAAGCTGTAGTCAGGAGTCAGAACCAGAAATCTAAGCTAGGTTCTGCAGTATGGGACATGGTTATCCTGACCATCATCTTAACTTCCAAGCCAGATGCCCACCCTACTATTTACATTTTTTATTATTAATTTTTATTTGTATATTTGAGAGGCAGAGACAGAGCTCCTGTCTGCAAGGTTATTCTCCAGATGCCCACAGTAGTCGCAGCTAGGCCAAGCCAAAGCTGACAGCCAGGAGCTCAGTCCATCTCCCACATGGATACCAGAGACCCAGCTATTTGAACCGTCACTTACTACTTCCCAGAGTGTGCATTAGGAGGAGGCTTGGATTGGGAGCAGAGCTGGGACTGGAACCCAAGCACTCCCATATGGGTGTCCCAAGGGGTGTCTTAACCATGAAGCCAAAAGCCTGTCACCACTTTCCTCATCTTTAAATATATAAAAGAAATTGATAAAGATTGTGACAGACTGTATGTGATCTGTAAAGCCTAAATTAACTGTTGGGCCTTTTACAGTAGAGGTTTGCCAACCTCTGTTACAGACCAATACTATCTAAAATACCTAAGGAGAAAAGGATACTTCCTCTCCTCATACCCTAATCCTGAATTCATAGGGCCAGGAAGAGGTATGATTTATGCTGAGTTCTTGGTTGCCACATCTTAAATTTCATCATATAGGGAAAGTATATTATCTCTCATTTCTCTAAGTCTGCATTTATTTTTCTTATCACAACCTCTAGAAGGACATCACTTTCACTGTGTCTCTCAAAAAAAAAAGTTTCACAGAAAATGTTGTATATCATACTCATAGATAATTATTTTTATAAAGGTAAAAAAACATGTTCAGCTAAAGTGCTCTAGTAACTTAGAGGAGTGAGAATCAGAAGTGGCTTTGTGAGGAGAAAATTGCATTTAAATTGGAAGCTTAAAGGACAGTAGGATTGAACATGCAGAGGTGAGGAAGAAGACATGGAATGCCTTAATTATGGAGGCAGTAAAGCATCAACCAGTTTAATTAAAACAGAAGTCCATAGAGGAATGTAGTATGATAAGGTAGGCTGGGAAAGACTGTGGAGGATTTAAAGCCTGGTTTATTTTTATTTATTTGAAAGGCAGAGAGAGAGAGAGAGATCGATCGATCGATCGATCGATCTTCTATTTGCTGGTTCACTCCCTAAACACCTACACCTGCTGGGGCTAGGCCAAGCCAGAATCAGGAGTCTGGAATTCAATCCGGTCTCCATGTTGGTGTCAGAGACCCAAACATTTGGCCATCACTGCTGCCTCTCCTGGTGTATAACAGCAGGAAGGTAGAATAGGGAGCAGAGGTGGGACTGAAACTCAGTGCAACAATAGGATGTGGGCAACCCAAGAGGTGTCTTTTTAAAAAATATTTTTTATTATTACTATTATTATTATCTATTTGAAAGGCAGAGTTGCAGAGAGAAAGAGAGGTCTTCCATCTGCTGGTTCACTCCCCAAATGGCCGTATTGGCAGGAGCTGTGCCAATCCAAAGCCAGGAGCCAGGAGCTTTTTCTGGGTCTCCCACGAGGTTGCAGGAACCCAAAGACTTGGGCCATCTTTTATGCTTTCTCAGGCCATAGCAGAGAGCTAGCCCCGCAATGTCTTAACCTGCACCAAACACTTACCTCTAACGCCTAAATTGGTAGACAGTAAATAATTTTTGAAGGTTTTTAAGCAGAGAGGCAAGTTTTATAGAGTAATACTAATTTTACCACAGTACCTAGGAAAAAATTGAAGGAAGGTAGAGACTATTGAAAAGAATTATGCAGGACAGTCCTCCTGGGTTAAAGGCAACAAGCAAGGGCAACATAGTGCCAATGGAAATGTAAATTGACATAACCATTTTGGAAAACAATTTGGCATTAACTTTTAAAGTTGAAGGTTAGACATAATCTGTATTCTAGACATTCTACTAGATTAAACTGATGAGCTGCTCAAGAAGAATGTTCTATATTCATTTGTTTTTAATGGCAAAATCATTAAGAGAAATGCTATAGCTATACATAGCAACATGGATGAGTATCAAGAACATAATGAAAAAAGCAAGTCACTAAATCATAGTTGAATTCTGTATATTGTTAGTTCTTTTTAGTCTCATGTATGCCGTATGTATACATATATAAATTTTCTGGATATTTGGAGCTTTTCGTAAGTAGTCAAGGTAGGATCTTGTCATAGTAAGTCATTGAGTGTAAGGGGATTGAGGCCAATTTAAAATTGCTCTACTTCCTTCTATATGTCTACCTCCCTTCTCTCTCCATTGTATTCCTTTTTCAAAAACACCTCTTACTGCCAAGGTTAAAATACTTTTTAACTGAACATGCATATATTATCAGGGATTTTTTAAGAAAAGATTATTTGAAGTTAAAGTTACAGAGAGAGAGATCTTCCATCCACTGGATCACTCCCCCAGATGGCCGCAATGGCCAGTGGCTGGGCCAGGCCAAAGCCAGCAACCAAGAGCTTTATATGGTCTCCTCTGTGGGTGACAAAGACCCAAGTGCTTGGGCCATTAGCAGGGAAGTGGATTAGAAGTGGAGCAGCCGGGACATGAACCAGCACCCATAGAGGATGCTGGCATTGCAGGCTGCAGCTTTACCTACTGTGGCACAACGCCAGTCCATCACCAGGAGTTTTTAAAGGTGAGAAAGTAGGTACCAGCATTGTGGCACAGCAAGTTAAACCATCATTTGTGATATAGCATCTCATACTGGAGCATCAGTTTGAGTCCTGGCTACTCCACATCCAACACAGCTTCCTACCTGGGAAAGCAGCAAAAGGTAGCCCAGGAACTTGGGTCCCTACATCCCATGGGAGAGAACAAGATGGAGTAGCTGGCTGCTGCTTCAACCTAGCCAAGACCTCCCTCCTGCTTTCTCCCTCTTTCCCTCCCTCCCTCTCTCTCTGCTGCTTGGCCTTCCAAATAAGTAAATAAATCTTTTTTAAAATGTGAAGACAAATCAACCTTAATTCTAATGTTGTTAACATTTGGCTTCATACACTAAATTGCTGCCACCACTTAGAAAAAAATAAAAGGAACAGGACAAAAATGTCAGAATAAGTGAGTGACACCTGTATGTGTGTGCATATGTAGAAGCATACACAGTATATACACATATGTACCTAAATATACTGACATGTACACATTAATTTTGACTTGTGATATAAAACATTCTTATGAATCACTATTAGATAACTCTGAAAGTATTGTTCTGCATAGTCTCAACTTAATTAACTTTGCTATATGTAGTCTTCCAAATTTCTTGTTGCTAGAGATACCACTCCTTTCACAAAACCCTTCCCACTTTGCTCAAGGTTAATCCCCTCCCTGAAGTCCTCTCTCAGTGCTGCAGCCTAGCACTAGACAGAGAACCGGGATAGGATCTTTCCTTCCTTTTGTCTGTCTCACTGCATTTTGTTTTTCTTATAGTCTGCCTCACACATCACATCTTTCTTGTCACTGTTCCTAGATTTCAAGTCTCTTGTGCACGTAGACTTTTTCTTATGTAGTCTTTTATCCTCATTTTGGTATAGTATCTTCTACTTAGAAGGTAATTTCTGTTGAAATAAATGATTTTATTAAAGTAGTATACATTGAAGTAGTATGACTTTTAAAGAGTGATATTTATTGTAAAAATGTTGATAATATTTAGATAATATAGTAAAAATAAGGAAATGGTAATAGCAAAATTAAATATTTGAAGGGTTGTTATATATATTCTGGATACTGTCTTAATACACAAAGTGCATAAGGTTATCTAATCCTACAGTTAGTCGTGAGATTGCTAGGTAACATTATCATCCCAGTTTGCAGATGTAGTGAGGGAAGAGTGACCTAATTTTATCCTGGAGAAATCTGCTGATATTTTAGTGTGGTCCTGCTTTACTGTGGACTTATATTCTTTTCCTTAATAATGTAGAAACCGGAGAACTTTTTCAGTTAAATAAGATGGTGAGCATGTCAAGTGGTTAAGTCGTCTTTATATATTAATTACTTCAGGTAATGGATAAATTGCCACCAATTACCTCCACAGAAAAGTTTCTTAAATGTACCAACCTGATAAAACACTGGTCTGCTTACTAGTGAAATTGCACATTTTCTTGTGTGTTTTTGGTCATACTGGTTGCCACTGATTTTTTTTTTTTTTTTTTTTTTGCCAGTTTTCCATTTACCTGTTAATTTTGTTATAATATTTTTAAAATTTTTATCAAATATTTCAATCTTTTCCTTTTTGTTGTCTGTCTTCAGTGTGTATTTCAGAAGGGCCTTCCTATTCAAAGGTGATAAGCATATTCATCTAAATTTTTTAAAATATTCATGTGATTACATTTAGAATCAATTTATATTCTTGTCAAAAGTATAACTTTGTAGTTATAAATAAATAAATAGACCTTTCCAAGTTGGCCTTTTGTTTTATAGACTACCAGTCTGTAGTTCAGACTTTTCTCACTTTTTAAAAATACCATCTTTATAGGCAGGCATTTGACCTAGCTGTTAAGATGTCCATGTGCTACATATGAGGGCTTGGGTTTGGTACTCACCAGGTCCTGAATCTAGCTTTCTGCTAATGCAGACCCTGTTGGGGCAACTGGTAATGTAACTTCTGCCTCCTGTGCAGAATACCTAGACTGAGTTCCCAGCTCCTAACATCCAGGCATTTGAGGGAGTGAACCCGCACAGCAGATAGGAGCATCCTTATGCACAAGCTCGCTCGCTCTCTCTGCCTCTCAAAGTTAAAAAAACTTTAAGTGCCATATTTATGTTATGAGAAGCTCTTATATATCAAGTCTTTTTTTTTTTTTTTGACATTTCTGGCATCTTTCTCTGTCATATGTAAGTGCAATGACCACACTTTTAATTATTGCTTGTGTTTATAGTATGAATTATTTGGTAAGTAAATCCCTCTTCATCAAATTGACTTTTTATGTGTTTCCATCCTATATTCTCCCAGTTGAAATTTTTACTGTCCCTCTAAGTTTCCAAGAATAAAATCCTATTGGAATTTCAGTTGACAGTTTATTGAAATTAGAAGTAATACTTAGCCTTCTTATCTGCAAACATACTTTGTTCTGTCATTTTCAAAATTGTGTAATTTTCATAGTATGGCTCTTAAACTTTTTTAAATTATATTTTGCTATTAAGAGATTATTTTTCTAGTTAGTCCTCTACTTGATAATTGGTGCTATGGAGAAAAGTTCTTTACTTTTTTTTTTTTTGGGGGGGGGTGGGGGGACAGGCAGAGTTAGACTGTGAAAGAGAACGACAGAGAGAGTTATAGACAGTGAGAGAGACAGAGAGAAAGGTTTTCCTTCCGTTGGTTCACTCCCCTAATGGCCGCCACGGCCAGCGCTGCACCTATCCAAAGCCAGGAGCCAGGTGCTTCCTCCTGGTCTCCCATGCGGGTGCAGGGACCCAAGCACTTGGACCATCCTCTACTGCCCTCCTGGGCCACAGCAGAGAGCTGGACTGGAAGAGGAGCAACCGGGACTAGTACCTGGCACCCCAACAAGGACTAGAACCCAGAGTGCCGGCACCGCAGGTGGAGGATTAGCCTAGTGAGCCACGGCGCCGGCCTTTACTTTTGTTTTTTATATCTCAAGTTTCATAGTCATTTAATGTTCTTTTGAGTTTTCATGGTAATAACAACTTTCCCAGAAACACTTTTAATGTATTTATTTCAGGATAGAATTTTATTTTATTTTGAAATAGAATTTCAAAGCCCTAATACTGTTCTAGGGTATGCTTGTATTTTGAGATTTATCTTAAATATCTTATTTGCTTGTGTTGTACATAATTAAGATTATATAATTGAGTCAAAGTAGAAATGTCAAAAGTTTAAGGTTGCCTTAGAAGATTAATTAAAGTCAGGATTTTTCCTTTTCAACTTTTCACAAAGAAATATGCCAAATCAGGATTGGCAGAAGAATCTTAGTGCTAAAATAATTTTTTTTTTAGGAAGTGGTTTTGAAAGATGGAAGAATTGAAAGACTAAAGTTGGAACTTGAAAGGAAAGATGCTGAAATCCAGAAGCTGAAAAATGTGATCACTCAGTGGGAGGTTTGTGTCCATTTACTTTTATAAAAGAAAAGTATATAAATTTGCACATTTTCTGTTTCTCTTTTTCGTAAATGCACTTAATATTTGATTGATAGAAATAGTCATTTTGCTATTTAGGTTTTAAAACTGATTAATGGTTTAAAGTCTGAATGATAATATTTATTTTTCTTGATGTAAATATATATAACATATCCATTTTAAGTGTACAATTCAGTGTCATTATTTGCCTTCATGATATTACTTAATCATCACCACTGTCTACTTGCAGAGCTTTTTCCATCATCTTTTTTTTAAAAGACTTGTTTTTTAATATTCATTCATTTATTTGACATTCAGAGTTACACAAAGAGAGAAGGAGAGGTAGAGGGAGAGAGAGAAGTTTTCCATTCACTAGTTCACTCCCCAGGTGGCTGCAACGGCCGGAGCTGGGCCGATCTGAAGCCAGGAGCTTCTTCCAGGTCTCCTACGTGGTGCAGGGGCCCAAGGACTTGGACCATCTTCCAGAGCTTTCCTAGGCCATAGCAGAGAGCTGGATCGGAAGTGGAGCAGCCGGGACATGAAGCAATGCCATGTGGGATGCCAGCACTGCAGGTGGCGGCTTTACCCGCTACGTCTCAGCGCTGGCCCCTCCATCATTTTAAACAGAAACTCTATACCCAGTAAACAATCCCCTGTTTTTCTCCCAGCTCCTGGTAACCTCCCATTCTCTATGAAGTTTCCTATTCTGGTCACCTCATATACATGGAATCATATAATATTTATCCTTTTATGTCTGGCTTACCTCACTTAGCAAGTTTTCAAGGTTCATTCATGTTATAGCATGTGTCAGAGTTTTATTTCTTTTTCCATTGTATGTGTATAATACATTTTGTTCATTGGTGTGCAAAGTGTCTGAGTCCCTGCTTTCAGTTCTTATGATTATATATCTGAGTGTCAGATAACTGGTTCATATGGGACTCCTACATTTAACTTTTTGAGGAACCACCAAACTTTTACAGCAGTTGTTAACATTGTGTTCCCACGAACAGTGTACAAGTTTTCCAGTTTATCCACATGCCAGCCAATAGTTGGGTATACAATTCATGTTTAATCACAAATTTGCCTATTACTCTCTCCCTTCATAGCTTAGCCTTTTAGAAAAATCTCTTTTTCATCTCAAGCATCATTCTTCTTTGACTACTATTAATTCACTTAGCAATACTTACTGAGTGCCTGGAACGTGTTACCAGGTGCTTTTCTGGGCTCTAAGTAATAGTGTGGGGGGGGGATCAAATTCCAACCCTGAGTGTTCTTAAATTTGCCTTCCTATTCAACTCACACATTCAAGAATCATCCCTGCTAAAACTTTTTTTTTTTTTTTTGGACAGGCAGAGTGGACAGTGAGAGAGAGAGACAGAGAGAAAGGTCTTCCTTTTGCCGTTGGTTCACCCTCCAATGGCTGCCGCGGCCAGCGCGCTGCGGCCGGCGCACCGCGCTGATCCGATGGCAGGAGCCAGGAGCCAGGTGCTTCTCCTGGTCTCCCATGGGGTGCAGGGCCCAAGCACCTGGGCCATCCTCCACTGCCCTCCCTGGCCACAGCAGAGAGCTGGCCTGGAAGAGGGGCAACCGGGACAGAATCCGGCGCCCCAACCGGGACTAGAACCCGGTGTGCCGGCGCCGCTAGGCGGAGGATTAGCCTAGTGAGCCGCGGCGCCGGCCACCTGCTAAAACTTTATAACTGCAGCCACTCATCTCCCTCAGCTTTTCATTTGCATTTGTCATCCTTTTTGTTGTACGAGGCACAGGGAGTACAGAGATGAGTTAGTAAGCAACTCATAGTCCAATGACAAAGACAGACATGTAAATAACTGTAGTGTAGTGTAGGGATTTGCCACCGGGGTTTCCGAGAACTCCAGAAGCACAGAAAAAGGAATGCGTGCATTGCTGCTGTTGAAAATTGGTAAGGATCTCACAGAAAAGGGGATCTTGCCAGGTAGCGAGCACAGTACCTACAAAGGCATGGGAATGGTGGGAAGCACATTGTAGCTGGCATTCTGAGAAGTGGGAAGCCGTAGGAGGAGAGATTGGAGATTTGAGTTGGGGTCAGATACTGAACTCATTTGGTTGAATAATGGGTACTGGGACAGTAAGACAGAAGTAACAAGTTCTGTTGTTCTGTTTCATAGCACAGTGGGATGACTATAGTTTACAACAATGTATTCTGCTTCCTCTAAGGAACTGGGAGAGAGGAGCTGGTAGGCTCCAAACATAAAGGATAAGGAAATAAAGGCTAATTGCTTGGTTTCCTGGTTAATACTATGTCTATTTGTTAAATATTGCATTATACCCCATCAAAATGTACAAGTATTACATGTTAATAAAAAATGTAAGCAATAAAATAATTTGAAGGAAAAAAAGAAATTTGAAGGCCTTGAGCTTTCGAGAGGGCAGTGAAGGCCTTTGTAAGTGAAGTGACCATAAGAGTGTTTCTGTGGGACAGGGGTACTGCGTGAGACCTGCAGTAAAGACAGTCTTGTAAAACAGTAAAGAAATACTGAATGTAAGAGGAAGGCCGTTTCTTGGGGGGGGGTGGGGCAGTGAGAGAGAGAAAGGTCTCCCTTTGCCGTTGGTTCACCCTCCAATGGCCGCCGCGGCTGGTGTGCTGCGGCCGGTGCATCGTACTGATCCGAAGGCAGGAGCCAGGTGCTTCTCTTGGTCTCCCATGGGGTGCAGGGCCCAAGCACTTGGGCCGTCCTCCACTGCACTCCCGAGCCATAGCAGAGAGCTGGCCTGGAAGAGGGGCAACGGGGACAGAATCCTGCACCCCGACCAGGACTAGAACCGGTGTGCCAGCGCTGCAGGTGGAGGAGTAGCCTATTGAGTTGTGGGCTGGGCGGAAGGCTGTTTCTTTTCTTTTCTTTTCTTTTTTTTAACTTTTATTTAATGAATATAAATTTCCAAAGTACAGCTTATGGATTACAGTGGCTTCCCCCGCCCATAACTTCCCTCCCACCCGCAACCCTCCCCTTTCCCGCTCCCTTTCCCCTTCCATTCACATCAAGATTCATTTTCAATTCTCTTTATATACAGAAGATCAGTTTAGCATATATTAAGTAAAGATTTCAACAGTTTGCACCCACATAGAAACACAAAGTGAAAAATACTGTTTGAGTACTAGTTATAGCATTAAATCACAATGTATAGCACATTAAGGACAGAGATCCTACATGAGGAGTAAGTGCACAGTGACTCCTGTTGTTGCCTTAACAAATTGACACTCCTGTTTATGGCATCAGTAATCTCCCTATGCTCCAGTCATGAGTTTCCAAGGCTATGGAAGCCTTTTGAGTTCACCGACTCTGATCATATTTAGACAAGGCCATGGTCAAAGTGGAAGTTCTCTCCTCCCTTCAGAGAAAGGTACCTCCTTCTTTGAAGACCTGTTCTTTCCACTGGGATCTCACTTACGGAGATCTTTCATTTAGGTGTTGTTGTTTTTTGTTTTTTTGTTTTTTGGTGAGTGTCTTGGCTTTCCATGCCTGAAATACTCTCATGGGCTTTTCAGCCGGATCTGCATGCCTTAAGGGCTGATTCTGAGGCCAGAGTGCTATTTAGGACATCTGGCATTCTATGGGTCTGCTGTGTATCTCACTTCCCATGTTGGATCATTCTCTCCCTTTTTTATTCTATCAGCTAGTATTTGCAGACACTAGTCTTATTTATGTGATCCCTTTGGCTCTTAGTCCTATCATTATGATCAATTGTGAACAGAAATTGATCACTGGGACTAGTAAGATGGCATTGGTACATGCCACCTTGATGAGATTGAATTGGAATCCCCTGGTATGTTTCTAACTCTACCGTTTGGGGTAAGTCAGCTTGAGCATGTCCCAAATTGCGCATCTCTTCCCTCTCTTATTCCCACTCTTATATTTAACAGCGATCACTTTTCAGTTAAGTTTCAACACTTAAGAATAGCTGTGTATTGATTACAGTATTCAACCAAAAGTATTAAGTAGAACAAACAAAAAAAAAATACTAAGAGGAATAACGTATTAAGTTGTTCATCGACAGTCAGGGCAAGGGGCTGATCAAGTCACCGTTTCTCATAGTGTTCATTTCACTTTAACAGGTTTCCTTTTGGTGCTCAGTTAGTTGTCACCGATCAGGGAGAACATATGATATTTGTCCCTTTGGGACTGGTTTATTTCACTCAGCATAATGTTTTCCAAATTCCTAACAGGGATCACTTTTCAGTTAAAATTTAAACACCTAAGAATAATTGTGTGTTAATTACAGAGTTCAACCAATAGTACTAGAACAAAAAAAAATACTAAAATGGATAAAGTATTACATTGAACATCAACAGTCAGGACAAGAGCTGATCAAGTCACTGTTTCTCATATTGTCCGTTTCACTTCAACAAGTTTCCCCTTGGTGATTCAGAATGCTATAAGATAGGCCAAATAAGGATAACGTAGGCAGAAAATTGCCTAGAATGTGGATGTTAATATGGGAAAACAGTTCTGGTTCAGATGTATAATTGTATCATGTAGATTGGGAAGAAGCTAAGCCATTTGGAAAAAAAATTGTAGAAGATTTGAAAGATATTTCAGTAAAGTACTCACTCATGTCAGCCAAAAATTACTATAAAAGAAATGACTTAATCAATGACAGAATAACATGTTGCACTTTAACTGAGAAGGTACAGAAACTGTATTATAAAATTAAATACTACACGAGTTTCAAATTTTTAATTAAAATTCATTCTCAGAAATTATTTAAAAATTATGTTTCGGTAGTCACCTACTAGCCAGTGTGAAGAAGCAGATTCAGGAAGTTCTGGTGAATTACTGGACAGTACTGGGTAGAACTGTGAATCATTTTTCTGTTGGTTTTCATCTACACTGTGTTGAGTTGTATAATGGTTTTATTGGGAGGAGAAAAGAAGACTGTTCCAGAAAATTTAATATTATCCTGACCTCTTCTCATTTTGCTCCCTCTTTTCTTGAGTTACCTATAATATTAATACTTTTCATTTTACCAGTGATTTAAGTAGCAGGCAGTTCTGAATACATCTTCCTCCATCCTACTTATATAAAAAGCAATTTATGTCTGAGAAAGCCTGGAATTCACATGTCCATAAATTGGTAGTAAATTATTAAAATTGTATTGTTTACTTTTAAAAAAAACTAAATGTTTTCTTCTTTATTAGGCAAAGTATAAAGAAGTAAAGGCAAGAAATGCACAGTTATTGAAAATGCTTCAGGAAGGTGAAAGTAAGTGATATGTATGTTTTTAGAATTAAGTTTGTCTTAAATCGAAGATAATTTTTCAAGATACATAATTTGCCAATTCACTAAAATGAAACACTGATACAGGCTAGCTAGAAGCTAATAATGTTTAACCACAAGTCACTCTTGCAGCACCTTAGTTTTATACAAGTTTATAATTACTCAAAAGAAGTCTTTGAGATTTTAATTATTTATAAACTATTAGATTTTATTTAGAAGAAAATCAAGTCTTAACAATTGCTTCTGCATTTTGATTGCTTGAGAAGAGAGCCTTTGGCACTGTAGGGTTTCCTTCCTATTCTTTTCCTTCTTGTTTCCTTTCTTCCTCTCCCCTCCCCTACTGCTCTTCACAATTGTGCTGCTACACTAAACTTTGGACAAGAAGTCACCAGCAGAAAGCCAAGGAAATCAACCTAAAACATTCTTAGAGATAACAAGATTAGTTTGGTTGATGTTCTGTGAAGTCCCCCCAAATTAGATGAATTCCTGAATATGTATACCTAATGACACCTTGAAAATTCTGATAAATTTTTCATACATGATAGAAAAGGAAATGTGTATTAATTTTAAATACATTTTAAGTACATTTAAGTAAAGCTATAATATGCAAGTGAAATTATAAATCATAAAAGACATTAATTAAGACATGAATAAAGGAGAAAATATTCTCCCAAGTAGACAAAATTAAATGTAATAAATTTTCCTTATTGATAAATGATAATGAAATCCCAGCTGTAACTCCTGGGAGTACCATATAGCACTTAAGAAATTAAGTGATGGGTGGGTGCTGTAGTGTAGTGGATAAAGCTGCCACCTGCAGTGCCGGCATCCCATATGGGTGCCAGTTCGAGTCCTGGCTCCTCCACTTCCCATCCAGCTCTCTGCTGTGGCCTGGGAAAGCAGTGGAAGATAGCCCAAGTCCTTGGGCCCCTGCACCCACATGGGAGACCAGGAAGAGGCTCCTGGCTCCTGGCTTCAGATTGGCACAGCTCCGACCGTTGTGGCCAATTGCAGAGTAAACCAGCAGATGAAAGACCCCTCTCCCTCCCTCCCTCCCTCCCTCCCTCTCTCTCTCTCTCTCTCTCTCTGCCTCTCCTTTTCTCTGTAACTCTGACTTTCAAATAAATAAATAAATCTTTATAAAAAAAAAAAAAGAAATTAAGTGAAAATTGGGGTTGGTGCTGTGGCGTGGCAGGTTAATGCCCTAGCCTGAAACACTGGCATCCCATATGGCTGCCTGTTCAGTCCCAGCTGTTCCTCTTCCAATCCAGCTGTCTGCTATGGCCTGGGAAAACAGTGGAAGATGGCCCAAGTCTTTGGGCCCCTGCACCCAAGTGGGAGACCCAGAAGAAGCTCCAGGCTTTTGGCTTTGGATCAGCCCAGCTCCGGCCCTTGCAGCCATTTGGGGAGTGAACTAGTGGATGGAAGACTTTTCTCTCAGTCTCTTCCTTTCTCTGTCTGTAACTCTACCTTTCAAATAAATAAATAAAATATTTTTTTAAAAAATTGTGAAAATCAAGGCTGGTGTTGTGGTTCAGTGGGTTAACCACCAATTGCAATGCCACCACCACCCACAGCTTTTTTCCTTAATGTTTATTTTCATCTACTTGGAAAGCAGAGCAGAGTAAGAGAGATCTTCTAACTGCTGGTCCTCTCCCCAAATGCCTACAGCAGCTAGGACTGGGCCAGACCAAAGCTAGAATCCTGTTACTCCATCCGGGTGACAGAAACCCAATTGCTAGGCCATCATCCACTGACTCCCAGGATGCATTAGCAAGAACTGTGGAAGCTGAGCAGCCAGGACTTAAAACGAGCACTCCCACGTGGGTTTTGGTTGTCCCAGGCAGTGGCTTAAACCCCTACAGCACATTACCTGGCACTTCCCTAGCTTGTTTTTAAAGTGAGAAGTTTAGCCATTGGAAATTCTCAGCTGCTTGAAGATTTCTAGGACTTAGAAGACGTAGGAACCAAAATATAAATCTCTGCTTGCTCACAGAGGAGAAAAACCTCTAAATAAATCAATAGTTCTAAGGGAATACAGATATTATATGACCAGATATGGTCACATGAGCTTCATGTACTTGTTAATGCGTTACTGGTGTGAAAAGTGTGAAAAAGAGGAAATAATTTTTTAAGCCTATTGAGCCATGGTGCCGGCCGATCTTTTACTGTTTTACCAGTCCATAGCAGAGAGCTGGATCAGAAGTGGAGCAGCTGGCCAGCGCCGCGCTCAATAGGCTAATCCTTGCCTGCTAATCCTCCACCTAGGCGCCGGCAACCGGGTTCTAGTCCCAGTCAGGGCGCCGGATTCTGTCCCGGTTGCCCCTCTTCCAGGCCAGCTCTCTGCTGTGGTCCGGGAGGGCAGTGGAGGATGGCCCAAGTCCTTGGGCCCTGCACCTGCATGGGAGACCAGGAGAAGCACCTGGCTCCTGGCTTCGGATCAGCGTGGTGCACCGGCCACCACACTAGCTGCAACGGTCATTGGAGGGTGAACCAATGGTAAAGGAAGACCTTTCTCTCTGTCTCTCTCACTGTCCACTCTGCCTGTCAAAAAAAAAAAAAAAAAGAAGAAGAAGAAGTAGTGGAGCAGCTGGGACTCAGCCAGTGCCCATATGATATGCTGGCACTGCAGGTGGCAGCTTTACCCACTACGCCATGGTACCAGCCCCAAAAATAATTATTTTCTTTGTAGTGTGCTTACCCCCAGCAACTTAACATAAAAGAGCACTTTGCATTGTTTTTTTAAAAAAATTTATTTATTTATTTGAAAAAGTTACACAGAGAGAGAAGGAGAGGCAGAGAGAGAGGTCTTCCATACACTATTTCACTCTGCAGTTGGCTACAACAGCCAGAGCTGCACCAATCCGAAGCCAGGAGCTTCTTTCAGGTCTTCCATATGGTTGCAGGGGCCCAAGCACTTGGGCCATCTTCCACTGCTTTCCCAGGCCATAGCAGAGAGCTGGATCGGAAGTGGAGCAGCCTCGAACCAGCACCCAAATGGGATTTGGGCACTACAGGCGGCAGCTTTACCTGCTACGCCACATTACCAGCACCTGCATTGTTTTAAAAATTGCCTTTTTTTTTTTTTGCCCTATGTGAAATTGTTTGTTTTCTTGTATATTTCTCCCATTTAGCGAAGATGGAAAGATCCTTTCGTCACATCTGTGTAGTATTTTAACAACACAAAAATGTAAAATTTCCAAGAAAAACTGTTATGATATTAATGATCAGAATTTGCATTTGAAAAAATAAGAGCCCTCAAGAACCTAGAAGTACATTCATTGAATTTGAAGACAAGAAACCATTATTATGACTGTACAGTATCACTAAAAGTATTGTTTAAAGAATTTGAGGGATTAAAAAGACTATATGACCATTTCTCCTTTTTTTTTGTCAGTGAAAGATAAAGCAGAAATACTGCTGCAAGTTGATGAATCGCAAAGTATCAAGAATGAGCTAACTGTACAGGTAAGGAACTGTGGAGCAAGCGTGGCTGGTTTTCCTAAGCAGTGACTAGTCCTGAATTGCTAAGCTTGACCAAGCAGAAATACAGCCTCTGGTACTTCAAGATGAAGATGTTAATGATACTTCTGTTGTGTGTTGGCCAGTAAGTGGAGATTCTGGTTACTGCACAAAGTATGTGCTGAAGAATAAGGGGAAAAAGTTGTATTCACTGAAATATGAATACAGAGATAGAAAAGGCAAATTGAACTTAGCCTATGGCTGGACTTCACATCCTTATCCTGTCTTAAGATTGTGAGCTTCAATGCTTAATAGAAACTACAGGGAGGGTCTCTCCTCTGATACTTGTTCATAGAGCTGTTAAAAATCCATCATTGTAACTAAGTGTTAAGAATTAGAGTATTTGCCCAAAAAAAGTCTTTTTCTTATTGAATATTTGATTATAGGTGACATCACTTCATGCTGCATTAGAACAAGAGAGGTCTAAAGTAAAAGTATTGCAAGCAGAATTAGCCAAATACCAGGTATGCTTTTATAATTTGAAGAGTTAAGACTATGCTTTCAAGGATCATTTCTGTACTTCGCTACTGATTTTGAAGTGTTTTCATCACAAGCAGTATGTTTAGAATAGATACCGTCTAGAATAAATGTACTATTTTATTCTTAAGCCACAATTTATTTACCAGATACATTAATAATTTTGTTATTTATCAAATCTTTTTTAAATGTTAATATTATTATACATACTGATATGTACGGCCCTAATTAAAGTAATTCAGGTAAGTGAGTAGTTGATGTGGCATGCATGACATTGAATCATATTGGGGGAAGGCACATAATGACGTTTGTCCCATTACAAGTTTGATCACTTGGCGTTAACCTCCTGTCTCCATTATAAAGTATCTTGTCTTCATCAATTAAAAAGTAACTTGTGGGGTGACACTTTGAGATTGTCTGAATTTCCTTTTCATCCAGTGGTTCTAGCATCATTGAAAATATTTGTATCAGTTTCCATTTTGGTGGCTGCAAAGTAGTGATTTTCTAGCTTTATCATTTCTTCTATATAGACAAGCAGAATTCATACTGTGTTATTTGGGATAAGCAATAAAAAGGATCATGCTTTTTTTTTCTGGATGGAGCAATAAAAATTACCAGTGTCATTTGCACATATATTTGTATGTACACATGTGTGTGTTTGTAAAACAAAATGCATTTATTAATGTGGAGATACTGTTTTTAAAAAGCCCAAAAACCACTGGTGGCATAAAGAAACATGAAAGTTGTTGAATCCTGGCGTTGAAATCTAATCAGTCCCAGACGGAGAATTTCCTTTGCTTAGGAGACTTTGAAGGGGATCCATGAATGTTTGTTATCTTTGTTTCTGTAAAAATCTCTTTGGGAATCATGGTAAGAGTTTTCAGCTGTATAACATTGGTGCCTCTCTATAGTAATTATCCCTCAAAAAGACTTTGGCTGAATTTATTTTCCTGCTATCAGGAAATAAATCTCAAGTACATGTCATACATATCCCACAAAACATATTCACACTGTTTTTCTCTGAATAAATCTTTGCATAACTTTCGTTTGCTTAAGAGTGAGTGGTAGCATTCTTCACTTGGGAGGGCCTTTTTTTTTTTTTTTAAGTTAATGTAGAAATGTATTTTCCAAGAGGGAAAGCTAGCAGTAGACAGATAAAGAGGGGGGGACAGGTTGAGAAAAAAATAAAGAGAAGCTGTCATCATTGCCAGATGAGGCCGGGCTCCACCAGAGATGACCGCCAGTTTAGGAAATGTGCTTCCCCAGATGAGCAGCTCCCACACTTGGCTGAGCATCAGGATCAGTTGGATAATTTTTGAATTTGCTTCGTAACCCAGTTAAGTAGGTGTGGTATGAAAGTTAGAGGTCAGCATTTTAAAAATATTACACTTAAATGATTGTACTAATCACCTAAGTTTGGGCACATTTGCCAGAGTTTATGAAAGTGGAAAAAACTGTGTAGATATGTCAAAGCATTATGTGTGGTTAAAGTAAGGGTAGAGTATGAAGTTACAAAAACTATTTGCTTTTTAAAATCAGAGTAAAGCATAAAAGGTCATGCTAAAAAGTAATTAATTTATATAATTTTTTCTTATATTTAAGCTGGCTTTTCATGAGCAAATTGCATATTTATATATAATATATAAATATAATATATATTAAATACATATAAAATATTTAAATATATATAACACTTAGAAATATGAAAAGTATAGGCTAGTTTTCAGCCTGCTGATGAACAAAATCAATTTCTAATGCTGTCTAGTATTAGTACAAACTAGACAGGACTAGTACAAAACTAGACAGGACTTGTCTACCTATAAATTGAGTTATAAAAACTGTATTACCCAAAAGATAATAAAGTAAATTTTCAAATGTGTTTATCATATGGAACAAACTGAGTGTGTGAGTTCAGTGTTGGTATGGGTCAGAAACATTGTTTTTTAAAAACTGTGGTTTCAGTCAAAATGAGCTCTAAAAAATAAGATATCATGATCTCATTAAGCCTAATTCAAATATAAATACTTCAACTATTTTTTAAAACCTACTTTACCCATTTATAAACATAATAAAAATAATTTAATGATCTGTACATTGAAATTTACAAAAGATTCAAGACACAGAAACTGCTTCCTTCTCTTGCCCCAGAATGCTTTTGGTCTCATGTATTCATAAAATGAAAATGGTCCCAAAATGGCATTCCCTAAGTAATTTGCTCTATTTTTCTTTACAGGGTGGCAGAAAGGGGAAAAGAAACTCTGAATCTGACCAGTGTAGGTGATTTCATTAGCTTTTGAAGTCAACACAAAAACTAACACTTTCAGGGTTTTACAAAAATGTATATATTTAATGCCGTGCAACTGCTAAACTATGCAGTTTTTGTTGAAGGAATTAAAAGCAACTAGCTCACTAACAGTCTAGAATTGTATGTTCTTTTGGCTTAAAGTAAAAAGAAAAAATAGAGAATTCCAGCAGAACTCAATGATTATTGTTTACTATCCATCCTTATCACCTTAGTTTTTCATCAGTCAATAAAATAATTTACTCTTCCACTAGTATGTTTGATTTTTTCAAGTTTCAGAAACAGCGTGAAAGTATATTTTGCTTATAACAGCACCATTTCATTGGATCCTTTTAGATCAGCAAACATTTTCTCAGCACTTTCTGCAACCTTAAAGGGCATACAAAACCAGTAAGACACGGTTGACAGCATGGAGTAGCTTCTACTTAATGAGATAGGAGGTGGTGGGTAAAATGAGGGCAGTACATACTTACCATCCATATCAGAGGATGGTATCACGTTGCTTGGAAATGGAGGGTGCTTGCCTGAGGCAGGTTTTAGAAGGTATCTGTTCTTTCTGTAAATATATGGAGAGGCATTCCAGGCAGAAGGAATGGAAGGAATCTGGAGTGAAAGACTTGTTTAAAGAACAGTTTGGGTTGAGGATGGTAACATGACATCCTGGGAACAGAACGAGTGTTGGTGTGTGGGAGGAATGAATTAGAGCTTTCTCAGTGGAATCATCACTGCCGGAACGATTAGTGGTTTATGAGACTCAGGTGGTGGTGTTTAAGTGTATTCATTGAAATACAGGATTTGTGTGTGTGTGCTTGCCCTCCACAATAAGCATTATATGAAGGATTCCACTTCATGACAGTCTTTGACGAAAAACGATCTGAAATAGAAAGGTGATGAAATCGTCATCATTGCTTCTATGTCTGACTTCCATAAGGTTATATGAACCGTGCAAAGAATGGTGACAGCCTCTTCCCCATATTCCCAGTGTTTAATCTGCTGAGAGGCAGATTGGGGGTTGAAGAATTATTCAGTTCATAAAATGGCCAAACATTTTGAAATTATTTTCTCCCAAGTTTAATTCTTTAAGAATAGGTATCATCAGAATCTAATTCATTGAACATGTATGGTAATATTCTGTAACCTATTTTTTAACTCAGTAATGAGCAAAGGTGTCTAATGCTGTTTCATATAAGCAAGTCTAGACAGAAGTGGAATCAGACTTGTTTCAACTATAATATAATCAGCCAAGTAGTCATGGAGCTGCATTATCAAAGCACACTCTATTGTCTCCTGCTTTTGATTATCTACCTACACATTATCCAGTGGGTACATTGTCTAGCACCTAGCACAGTGGTAGACACACAACATGGCACATTTAACTGTCCATCAGAAAGGGGTCAACAATGTGATTGACAAAGTAAAATTGGGTGTCAGATGACTACAGCTAGTGAAAGTCTTGGGTAAAAAGTCTAGGGCCAGCATTGTGCTGTAGCCTGTGACACTGGCATCCCATATGGGTGCCAGTATAATTCCTGGCTGCCCCACCTCAGATCCAGCTTCCTGCTAATGTGCCTGGGAAGGCAGCAGCGGATGCCAAGTTCTTGGGACCCTGCACTCATGTGGAAGACCCAGATGAAACTCCTGGTTCCTGGCTTGGGCCTGACCCAGCCCCAGCTATTGCAGCCATTCGTAGGATGAGCCAGCAAATGAAATCAATCAACCAATCAATCTCTCTCTGCCTCTCTGCCTTTCAAATAAATCTTTTTTAAAAACTGTGTAAAATGTACTAGGGATAGAAGAGCATAGCACATACATAACTAAAATTACAGATAGAATGATGGATTCCAGAAGAGTATGACTCTTCAACAAAGTCAGCTGTTACTTATTTTAAAAATAATGTTTAGGCTGGCGCAGCAGCTCACTAGGCTAATCCTCCACCTGCGGCGCCGGCACACCAGGTTCTAGTCCTGGTCGGTGCACTAGATTCTGTCCCCGTTGCCCCTCTTCCAGGCCAGCTCTCTGCTATGTCCCGGGAGTGCAGTGGAGGATGGCCCAAGTCCTTGGGCCCTGCACCTGCATGGGAGGCCAGAGAAGCACCTGGCTCCTGGCTTCGGATCAGCGCGATGCACCGGCTGTAGCGGCCATTGGAGGGTGAACCAACAGCAAAAAGGAAGACCTTTCTCTCTGTCTCTCTCTCTCACTGTCTGCTCTGCCTGTCAAAAAAAATTCTTTTTTAAATAATGTTTTTTAATTTAAGATTTAATTATTTTGAAAGAGAGAGTAGTGATGCCTCAGTTACTTGGGAGTTCCAAACTCCTGGCTTCAGCCCAGCCATGGCAGGCACTTGAAGAGTGAACTAATGGATAGAAGTGTTTCTCTCCCCCTACTCCTTCTGTCAAATAAATTTTTTAAAAGATTGAAATGGCAAAGATAGAGAATTAGAGAAGAAAGTCATTTCAAGGGGACCTTTTTTTTTTTTTTTAAGAGAACTAAGAGGCAAAGGGGATCTAAACCAAGAAAGTGGCAGTAAGATTGAGAAAATGGAATAAAAACATATCCAATGTGGAGTCTAGCAAACTTGGGAAGTATAAGAAAACATGGCTTCGGGGGTCAGGGCTGTGGCACAGTGAGTTGAGACATGGCTTAAAAAAGTGGCATCCCATATAGGCTCTGGTTCTAGTTCCCAGCCACTCTCCTTCAGGTCCAGCTCCCTGCTAATGTGCTGGGAGTGGAAGATGGTCAAGTCCTTAGACCCCTACACCCATGTGGGAGAAGCTTCTGGCTCCTGGCTTTGGTCTGGCCCAATCTTGATTGTTGTGGCCATTTGGGGAGTGAACCAACAAATGCAGATTCTCTCTTGTGGCTCACTTGGTTAATCCTCCGCCTGTGGCGCCAGCATCCCATAAGGGCACTGGTTCTAGTCCCAGTCACTCCGCTTCCAGTCCAGCTCTCTGCTGTGGCCCGGGAAGGCAGTGGAGGATGGTCCAGGTGCTTGGGCCCCTACACCCGCATGGGGGACCAGGAGGGGGCGCCTGGCTCCTGGCTTCAGATTGGTGCGCGGCCTTTTGGGGAGTGAACCAACAGAGGGAAGACCTTACTCTCTGTCTCTCTTTCTCACTGTCTATAACTCTACCTGTCAAATAAATTAAAAAAAAAAAAAAAAGATTCTCTCTCTAGCTCTGCCTTTTGAATAAATAGAAGGAGAGGGAATGGGAGAGGAGAGGGTTGTGGGTGAGAGGGAAGTTATGGGGGGGGGGAGCCATTGTAATCCATAAGCTGTACTTTGGAAATTTATATTCATTAAATAAAAGTTAAAAAAAAAAAAAAGATCAAGGCATCAGAGACAGAAACCAGATCCCAAGTCTAGATGAGCATAAAACTGCTAGTGCTACTGACAAATAGGCAGGGGCGATGGAGTCACTAGTGGGGGAGGAGGGAGTGGAGATGGACAAAATGGACCTGTGATACATTAAGTTGTATTTTCCCACAGAACACCTGAAAGTACAGAGTCCAAATTGGGAGTGTAGATGTGGTCTGGTTCTTAGAGGAAGAACTTGGGGTCCATGCACCATGACGCTGTCAGAATGGTCCACATCCCCAAGGATGAGGGTGTGAAGAGAAGCAGAGGACCGGCTTTGGGAAGGATGGAAGCAAGAGTGGTCAGAAGAGTAGGAGGTGAGGTTAGGAACCTGTGGACAAGTCTCAGGTTACAAGGCAGAGGGGAAACTGCTGGATTTAGCAGCTTGGGGACACGTCGACATGGGAGACCCTGTGGAGTTCCAGGATCCTGACGTCAGCCTGGCCCAGCCCTGGCCATTGCAGCCGTTTGGGGAGTGAACCAGTGGATGGAAGATTCATTGTGTGTGTGTGTGTGTGTGTGTGTCTCTTTCTCTGTAAATCTGCCTTTCAAATAAGTAAAAATCTTTTTTAAAAAACTTTTTTAACATACTGTTTTTTGCAATTAAAAAATGCTACTGCTTGGATTTGTGTTACGTAATCTGCTATTACAGAACTATGTTGTATCAACTTGTTTCCTTGACTTGTTCAGTTGAGTTAAGTGTTATTACAGGACATGGCTGGACAGGGAAGTTCCATTTTGTCTTTCAATCCAGAATCAGTCACTGTAATAGAACTGAGCCAGGGGGATAGCAGAGTGAATGAAAATGACTGTGGGAAGTATCTGCAAAAGATCATGAATGAATGAACATTATGAGAAAAATTTGTACCCAGATAAACTTATCTTTTAATTCATTTTTCCGTAAACTTTTAGAAGTACCTAGTAAGTCTGTAAGAAAACTTACAGTCAACCAGCTTGACATTTCATTTGTTTTACTTCCCATTTTATGAATTTTAGAACTTTAGTTTTACTTACTACCATTATCCGTGTCATATTGATCTGGTGACATCTATACAAGGATAATTTTTATATAAATATTACAAATTAAGATGTGAATTGGGGCTGATAAAGCCTCAATTCAATGTAGGGGCAGGTAAAGCTGTTGCTTGCAGTGCCGGCATCCCGTATAGATGCCAGCTCGAGTCCCGGTTGCTCCACTTCTGATCCAGCTCTCTGCTATGGCCTGGGAAATCAGTGGAAGATGGCCCAAGTCCTTGGGAAATTTTATCTTTCTGAAATGACAAATCGTGGGTAATTTTTTGTTGTTGTTTAAAAGTCTTATTAGCTGGGGCTGGCACTGTGGTGTAGCAGGTAAAGCAGCCGCCTGCAATGCTGCCATCCCATATGGGTGCCGGTTCAAGTCCTGGCTGCTCCACTATCGATCCAGCACTGTGCTATGGCCTGGGAAAGCAGTGGAAGATGGCCCAAGTCCTTGGGCCCCTGCACCTGGGAGGGAGACCCGGAAAAAACTCCTGGCTCCTGGCTTCTGATCAGCCCAGCTCCAGCTGTTGAATCGTTTGAGGAGTGAACCAGTGGATGGAAGATCTCTCTCTCTGCCTCTGCCTCTCTGTAACTCTGCCTTTCAAATAAATAAATCTTTTTAAAAAATCGTATTAGCTATACTGTTCTCATGATATATTTGATACCATCCTTTTACTGTGACCCCGTGTCCTTATATAGTAGTCTCTTGTGAGCACTCTTTTAACCCCAGTCTGACAGACTGTGTTTCTGTCTCTCACATTTTCTTTGAGTGAGTGGCTTGGCGAGCTTCTCTCCTTGTCAGGCCTTCAGAAGTCTAACATGTTGCTCAGCATCTCAAGCAGGAAATGGACCCAAGCAAGCTAGTGCATCGCATC